GTGAAAAATCAGTTTTGCGAAAATGTGTGCATCCAGAATGAAATAAATTAAAAATATTATAAATCCAAATCGACGAAAAGGAAAAATTTACATTTTGAAAATATTAACAATTTCGAGTCAAATTTTCATTTTTCATTTTCATTTAATCTCGATATTCAGCGAATTCCTACGCGATTCCCGATTAATTCTGCTCGAATCGAACAAAATAATCAAAATCTACGTGGCGTGAAAAAAATTCATTTGCGATTTTCTAATTTTTGAATTTTATAATTTTCATTGAATTTGCAAATTTTCATTCGCGTAAAAGTTTTCATTTTCATATCTAATTTCGCTACCACTGTTACATGAAAATCATCTTCAATGCTATAAAATTCTTCTATGAGCATTCATTCGTTTCTTGTTGTTAATAACGTATTTAAATTTTTATTCCAATCGTAAATATTGAAAATATTCGCATGTGATCAGTAAGAATTCTTTCGATTTGGAGTCCTGCACAGCGTTTATTGCTTGTTTATATTATTAAGGCAATCCAGGGACGGTTAACCTCATTCTCATTGGCTATTGTTATAAAGTTCCTGACCGAAAAGTTATATCGTTAACTATTCTAGTAACAATATACGCCATTCTTTAATTTTTCTCTCTCGTTCTCTCTATCCTCATTGGAACTCGAAGTCGTTCTATCCGATGGGTAATTGTAAAAAAATATAGGCAACTATCAACGATAATGGAAAATTATTTGAGTAGAACGCAACATTTTTAAAAATAGAAATTTAAATTATAAACATGAACTAGCGCACGTATGAATTCGAAATTTGTTTTAACAAAAAAAGCCATCAAAGAAAATTCTCAATTCTCAACAGCAATTCAAATTCATAATATAAAGCCACTATTATCGTCAAAATTTCAAGCCTTCAACAAATGTATTCTCTGCTATGGAAGAAAGAAATAATACCAAATGATTGAAGTGAAATAATTCGGCTCCTAATTACTATTATTATTTTATTACAAGGCAAGTATTACAAGTATTTTAAAAATAGCTAAGGATAATGACCCACAACCTGGCAACATCATTCGGATATTTATTGTATTAAATTAATGGTGCGAATAAAAAAAAAGTCATACACCTTTAATTTACTGTGCATTTAGATTTCAATAATTCCAACTTATTGGAACTTGCTGCATTAAAATTTAACCTAAAATTGCAAAATAGTCTTATTTGACATAACCATATAGAATTTCGCATGTATAATTTTATAATTATAATTTATAATTTATAATTTTATATAACAATCTTGATTAATTCGACGAAATGAGAGAATGGATGCATAGTTGATGTTGTGCTTTGTAACTGAAATTGCTATTAGATGAGTGGCAACGTGCAACGTGCTTTTGGAATCCTTCAATTAATTTATAGGATTTGCGGCATATAGGAGAATAAAGAAATGAAGATTTTTGTCTATAATCCGAGATATTTGGACACCTGAAGAGATATAAGATTTAAATTGAAAAGAAAAATTCAGTAGAACAAAATTGACCGACTGCACAATTTTAAAAGCTAGTAAAATGTGTTTTAAATGTAGCTTATATCCAATATATTTTCCTGCAAGAATGCGTATAACTCAGCAAATAACCCAGAAATTATTCTTATTGATAGTAATCTCCAATTCTCGCTATTCCCCCAAGTCATCTCTACAATATTCAATGGAAAATTTCAACAAAATTTTAGTATTAAAAACAAAGATAAACTAATAAACTAAGAAAATAAACTAAAAAATTAAATTTGCAATTGTTGGCTATATGATCCTTTATGGCTTTCAGCATTGGTTACATAGAAAGGCTTTGAAACTTCCGCTCTTTTCAAATATGCTTACATCGAAGATAACTTGAATTTTTCTATTACCCTACAAAGATGATTGAATTTGAATGCAATCCCGACCAGAATTATCTCTTGTTTTATCACCAATGATTAGCTATTTAATCCAATGCCATCGTCACAGTAAGAGAAGCCTTTTTCTTTCATTTAATTCCATATATCGCTGTTTCACTGATACATCGAAATCTTTCCGAAATTAGCGATCATATTTTTTAAAAATAAAATCAGATATAAAATTTTTTAGAAGAGAATGATAATTGAAAATATCAAATAGAAAGTCGAAGGCCGTTTTTCAACAATATTCAATATTTCAGGTCCTTTTAAATTAGTTTTAATGCATTCGAACCATGGAAATTACTTATTAATATTCGAATTGCGTATATATATAATAATGGTTTCGACCACATCAACTTTAGGTGAGGATCCCTTTGCAAGAATATATTTATCTAAACTTTCCCGACTTCTGGTATGGGACCTGAGGTTTAAATTAATTTCGCACCATCTACATGCGGTGAGATGAGCATCCAAGCCTTTCTACTTTTTCGGTGGGATTTTTGGGTAGGATAGAGCTGAGAACTTACCTGCCATATTTTAGATATGAGTGTGTCGCATTATACAGCCAGGCCAGATAGGATGTCGCTGCCATTAACAAGGCGTATAAATGAGTTAAAATAGTTTGTTAAAATAGCTTTGGCAACAACTAATTTGCACCATAAAAAATATTTTTGTAATAATAAATAAAAAACGGCAAGAAAAAACAAAAGAACCACAATTCTACTTTCATGATCAAAGCTAACGACAAATTATCCCAAAAAATGATAAACAACTATAAATTAACTAAATTTTAAAAATATTTTTCCTTCTTCGCTTTAAAAAAATTTAAAAAGTAAAAAGAAAAAATATACAATAAAAAATTTATGAATAGTGAACAATTATGATAATAAAGAATAGAATAGATAAAAGCAGGTGCCCCTCGTTTCTTTCTTCAAACTTTTATAATTTCTTTTCCAATTTTCTCAAATATCGGTCCAAAAGAATTTTAAAAAAAGCAGTATATTTTATAAAATAGCCGAATGTTTTTTGTCGCTATTATGTCGATTAATATTCGCGTCGTCGTTATTTTGTCGTTCCATTTAGGTGATATTTCTTTCATAATGTTTCGATAATTTATTTATTATTAGATGCTTTGCTGCAGCTACGAATGCACAATTTATTAACCTCTAACGCAGTATTTGTTTGTAAAATAAATTTTTAATGCATAGGGAAATACCATCGCATATAACATGGCAATTAATTTGCCTTATATCGATATTAAATTAAATACCGCACATATCACTAAATAAATTTAAAAATTATAAAATCAATTAAAACATTTAAATAAATAATTGAAATTAAAAGTTGAAGTAAAAAAAATATTTTTTGCGAAATATATATAAAAATTTTTTTTCTACTGTCTTTAGCAAAATAATCCAATCTTCATTATTCTATCCTCAAGGCATCAAATCTCTGTTAATTTCTGTAAATGTGAAATCTACAGAAATCGATTGAAATATTTGCTAGAAAAGTGATATTATTCGATTGTAGGACGAAATAGCTTTAAGGCAAATTTGCTGGTCTAAAAGTACGAAATACATCATCTCAATTTTATAAACGAGGAGAATTGTTCTCTTTGATGATTTGCAGATTTATTTAATTTTATTAAAAAATGTAAATTTTATGGGCTAAGAAATAAATATTGGATTTGTTTCTAACTTTAACTTTAACTTTAACGGAGTTTATTAAATGGAGTTTATTAATATAGTATGCAAAAGGATAAAATGGATCAGCTCGATGAATTTTCCGATGGCTTTCGCGAAAAAATTCATGGAATGGATGAATTTTTTAAACGCACAGTAAAAAAAGAAGTCATTTTATATGCAGAATGAACACGAAAGAGTTGGTAAGGAAAGCTTTAAAAATTATATAAATATATATATAGTGAATAATATTAATTGTCGCTTGCCATGCAAATTTTATTTTGTTCATATCCTTTGAACAGATAGTAAGATGAAAGGTGTGAGACTACAACTGGAACTTTTATCCTCAAACTTGGCTAAATAAACTGCATAAACTAAAATAACAAAGAATAGCTGCTTTAATTGTAGAAGACCTCTTTCCTCTTTGAATTCAGAACACCGATTGGTGGATGGATGCTCCAAATGAGGGAGTCATCACGGACATTATAAGACATTATAAGCCTAGAATTTTCAACTGAGACTCATTCAGTAACTGCGGGGTTTATTTCTGAATGACACATTTCTCAATATGTATGATTATTTCGTACTGCTTAAGAATATACGAATGCTCATCACTGCTTCATTGAAGGTTTTGATTGCTGACCACCTGTTTAGTTAATTCATTATCAATTAGCTGCAGAAGAAACACAATAATACCGCTGCAAGGAAAGGATTGCAACCGAGTTTATATGCAAGTATATTGATAAATAACCAGGTTTTCTCCTGATGGAGGAGGTGGAGAAGGAGAGAGATATAGTAAGCCAGATTTTTGATTCCAACCGAGCCTTTTCAATTCTTTTTAATTCTTCTGGCAAAGTTCCATGGATTTTGAAAAAAACTAATTAAATAACAAATTAAAAGAAATTAACGTGGAAGTTTATTTTTCAATTTAGTTTTATGTATAACTAAGAGGAAATTCAATAAATTTTTATTCTTATTTATCATAAAAAATTTTCCAATGAAAAGTTTCATTTAAAAATTTTTCAATAAATTCATTCATTTTTTCAATTGAATTTTGTTTCGCAATGATTTATATTTCGTCGGATTTTCTCCACCATTTCATCTATAAATAAAATTAATGAAGAGACAAAAATATTTTAAATAGCTTTTTGGCTAATATCACCCATATAAATTTTCGTATATATTTCATGAAAAAATTGCTTATCTCTTATAAATTTAATCATTTTTTAATCGGATTTACTGACAATAATGAAGTGCTCACAATTAGCCTCGACCTAGTTGCTTGTTGCGCCCAATAAATCCTACTAGTTTATCTCACTTAAAGGAACCTGGTAAATTTCACCGGCATTTGAAACTTATTAAAGCTTGGTAAAAATAGGGGAAGCAGAAACTTACGCTGCAACGCACAATTTTCTATCTGTGTTGCACTTTGAATTGGGGATCTGCGTGCACTCTGAATCCGATGAACAACCAAGACCAGTCTCGTAAACGTCCTCGCCAATCTTGTTGCCGCTTTAAAGAAATTATTTTTGAAACGCAGTAGACCTTTCAAAAATTAGTAGTAATTCTAAAATTCTCATAGGATCTTTCTTATAAGAATTGGATCCTCTCCGAACATAAATTATACACTCACCGTTCCTTATAGTGGCACACAACAAGTTTTTGTTGTCCGCAGTCGTTGATACCGCATCCCACTTTGGTCGTCTTTCCCCAGGCCATCTTAAATTTATGCAATAGATGATTCCCAGAACCCACAAAAATCCTTTTAAGCAAACGACATCAACTGCACTTGAAGTAATACATTTTTATGAAATCATTTGCCTCTTATAAATTAATAAAAACCTGAGTATATCTACTGTAGGCGCCCCATTCGTGGGAATAAACGTTTCGCTGAGCTAAACTGGTCGGCACATTGTGACCTTCGTTCCACCACTTCGATAGTGCAGCTTTTATTGCGTCAGCTAAACAAATAAATAAGACTGGTCCATATTTAAAAAATTTTTTGACCTTCGTTCCACCACTTCGATAGTGCAGCTTTTATTGCGTCAGCTAAACAAATAAATAAGACTGGTCCATATTTAAAAAATTTTTTAAGAAGAATTTTTAAGAACCAATTTTTAACCAATTTTTTTAACCAATTTTCCAATCTCCCCCATATTAATCTTTATTATTCTTTAGTTTGTGGCACTAATAAAGGGTACTCTAATTTGCAATTCTGGTCGACAGTTGCGAGAAAATGTAACATAAATTAGATTGAGTAATCACAGCGAAAATTGGTCTTCAATGTAAGATAAAAATTCGCTGTAATGCTCGCAAGTGTTTTAGATGGTTGCGAAAATTGACTAATGAGAGTGCAAAACACCAGGGAACCACACATTTGGCGATCCTTACAAAGTACATTCTATATGCGAATAGCACAGAACCTCATGTAATTCTCCAGCTATCTCTGTTAGGCCATATTCTTCGCCATTTATAAAAGTTGATATTTCGCACCTTGTTAAATCTCATAATCTCGTAATGGACGAGATCAAATGAAGAGAACCAATCGAAACCTGGAGTAATATGGTCAGATTTGAGAGATAGTGGCCTATCAATGGACTTGAAAAGCGTTAAAAGGAGTGCCTTCAATTATTTTCAGGAAAAGTATCGGAGGACCTGGAAACGCCATGCCTTGATGGCCAATGAAGCACTGGTATTAGAGGAATACCGTATGAAGAGTCTTGATAGAACTCAAAGAGGGTTATTGATCTTGGTAGAAAATAGTTTAAGATGATATTTTTTCTAATCTGGTACGCGCAGTTTATTATTGGGGTGGCTGCATCTACATCCATTTGCAAACCTCGTGATGTCCGTAATAGAAGGCGCTCATTTTCTCACCATCTATGGCTGAACCACGAATGCGTTTTAAAATCTCTCTCTTTATTGTATCAGTCCACTTCTTGAATGGATCTTCTCGAAGTCCACTACAAGGTAGTTGAGAGAGAGCGATATGTTTCAGTCTATCAGAATGAATAATGCGCATTGCACCCAGACAAATGTGGATTTCTTTGGTGCAGGCTTAATCGCATGCGTTATGAGCAAACTGTATAGTAGATCAACAGAAAAGGAATGAGAAGGTCTTCAATAGGAAAGGAAAAACAAGATTTGGAGGAATGGATAACATGAGAGAGTGGTCTTGTCCGACCAAAGAAAAAATTCTAAACTCGGCAATCGGATTCGCTAAATATTAGCGTACCATTAGATTGCGCAGAAGTGAGTTCGCTATTCTGTCCCCTATCTTTTGGAATAGTTCCTGCTTCACATTGATTAGCTACCTGTTGAGCACTATTCTCCAAATCGCAATCATAATTCTGTAAAAAGTTTTTATTAATGATATGAGATAAAATAGAATCTAAGCTGAATGCAATACGGCAACAAGGAATTATTAACTAGCTGATAAAAATCCGTCGCAGAATTTCCTAGTCCACCAGCGTTCGCTAACACTTCTCGATAATCATTGTGAATTTTACGAAATCTCCGACGATCACCTTCGCTAATTTTTTTATTAGAACACTGTGGGACTGAGTCTAAATGTTGAATTTTTAAACGATTTTGGAAAATTGAATAGAACAAATTTTCCAAAATAAACAATAAACAACATACATGGATCGAAAAGTTTTTCCATTTCACTCTTTTGCCTAAAAATTTTTTGATTTATATTTTAAATTTTTATATTTTTATAAGAATTTTGGTCAATTTTTTATTTCCCAATTCGATAATAATTAAGCCATTTGCTATACGAAAAAATAATTTAAATAATTTCGATGATCGAAGATCGAAATTTGTTTTAAACAATTCCGAATCTTACAGTTCGCAAAGACTTGTGCTTCTATCACAGCGCGAATTGCTAAATGCAGTACAATCGTTGTCACTGTTGCATCCATTGCCAATGTCATAGATTGGTTCACCGACTTTATTTCCACTAAATTTTTCAAGTAATGATTTTTAAAGTTTAGCTAAGCAAATTGGATGAATAAAAAATTTTTTATGACATAATAAAATCATTTATACTTCATCGATGCAAAAAAGTCTTGGCAAAATTCACGCTCGAAGTGATTAAAGGTACACCTATCATGTTTTTTTTTTCTTAGAATATTCGTCGTCATTCCTGGTTGGGTCGCCGTGTTGAAACAAGCAAACCTTGCCATTTGGTGGCAATATGGATGAATCGTGAGCATTACCCGTTTTTTCGAAAAAGAACTACTAGCCGGAAAATGTAATTCCATAATCAGCGATGGCATTTTGCAGTGTATTAACATCAGTGTCTATATATATATCAATAGATGAACTGATAAAAAAATTACAGTGCTTACCCTTCTTTGAAGAGGCAAACAACGTAATCAACATAAAACGGAGAATGTAATCTATTGTCTTCGTTACAAGTTTGTTTGATAGAACATCCAACTTTCGTAGATTTTCCCCAAATCATCTGAATATTAAACTTTTTCTCTTATCTCATATAAAAAGGGAAGCTAAAAAAATTCAATTTCCCACTTTTTTTATTATTTTCTGATTCTAATTTTTAACGTACTAACGCATTAATACGACTATGAACGCTAATCTGACCTGGGTGAAATTCGATTTTGTAGCTTTATCAGCAACTGAGAAAATATTGCTTTTCGACGGCGTTGCTTCAGCCCACCATAATGCAGTGGCTTCCTTCATGATTATCGCTGAATAACAAAACTTTTTAATTATTCAATCCAAATATCCAATTATAAAGGAATTATTGGACTTACCAGGTTCCTTACCAGAAGTTTGGTATCTTCTAGCCACTTTCGGTTTCACAGCAGCCGTCGTTTGACTTGCTTTCCCATTTAAATTATAAAATGGGCCTTCAGTAAAATGACAATTATGTGAAGAATAGGCCGCATTTTCTTCTAGTTCGCAGTCGTATTCGACTTTATAGATATTTTTTCCTAGGCTTTTAGCGACATTTGAGCGATAATCGTTTATCGAGACAATAACCTGATCGCGACCGCTATCATCCATGTAATATTTGAATTTTTTCTCGCATGCAAAACCAATTGCTAAAGGTGAACATTAGTTTTAATTAGCTTTGAATATTGTTCAAAATCGGTCACCATTAGAAAAAAAGAAAAAGGAAAAAGGAGGAAAACCTCGAGCAATAATGAAGGCGAGCAGGAGAGACGAAATACCAAACATCTTTGCTGGATCTTTCTTAGTGCTGTTTCTCATTTATGAAACTGAGTATATATATGTTTCATGGACGAATTATTAATATTTTTATTTTTTAACAATAAATAATGAATAAACATCTATAAACAATGAGTTTATAAAATTTTTAAATATTATTTATTGGATTTGTTAGAGTTAGACGAAATTTTTTTCTAATATTTTTCTACGCTCCTTGATACAATTTGAAAAAATTTTAAAAAATTTTTCTATTTTTTCATATTTAAATATATTTTCATACTTTTAACAAATTAATGTTTATTAATGTATGAATTAAACAAATAAAAATAATAAAAATCAAATCATCTATCGAGAACAAAACAAATTTAAACAGTCAATTTAAACAGTATATTCTCATATTGAAATAATTGAATTTTTCTCTTAAGTTTTTCCGAAAATCAGTTCCATTATTAGAATGTGGAAGGAAAGCCAACGAAAACGAAAGCCTACATTCTTCTTTTTTTCAAATAGATATATTTGATAGAGGAAGACTATGGTAGAAGATGAAGTGGCATCCAGGCTATCTAAATATGTGAAATGTGACGTGAAAAAAATTGAAAAGCAGACCGAAAATTTATCAATTTATCCCTTATGTTTCCTCCAGGAAGCCTTTAAAGATTTCATTTTCACTTTGATTTTCACTTTGTGGATGAAAGGGTTTTTTTCTTTCGCAAATATCAAAATTTTTTTAAAACATTGAGTCATTAAATATTTTAATAAGCTAAATTCTGTTTGCTTTAATTTTTAAGTTTTTTTGTCGCGTTAAAAAATACTGAATAATCAAAGGCCATAAAGCAAAAAAAATGATAAATGATAATATTGGTAATAATGATAAAAATGATTAAAAAACCTCTTGATTAAACTGTTGATCAAAGAGCTGAGGTATTTCTAAAAAAATTGCGATAAATTTTCAATATAAAAACAATTACGATGGGTAATGTAAAAAAAATTGCTATAATCACTGGTTCATCCACAGTGGCTTATGGAAGGAAAGCATTACTGAAAGAGAGACATTCGATTTTCATTCATCAAATGCATAAGATACAAATAATTTCTGGCACTTAGAGGAAAATGAATAGAAGATATTGTTTGCTATTCCGGCCGATGTGCGATGAGTTTCGATGCAAACTCTGGATTCAATGCCTTTAAACCTATCAATGAATCAAGGTTCTCTTATCAATAATTCTCTGATTTGCATTCATAAAATGACAATTTCGGATTAAAATGAAATTTGAATGATATAAACTTCAACATTCAATCGATTGGTCGATCGAAAAATTTTAATGAAATTGCTTGAAGTATGAAAATTGGTATTAACTGAAATGAAAATTTCTGATAATTGAGACTCTGCTCTTTAATCTCTTGCGATACTTTTATTCTTTATACTAATTCATTCATGCTTTCATTACTTTTAATATAATATTTCACCTGGCAAAACACCAGAAAAAATGACTGATTAATTCGATATCATTTTATTTACTCGTTATGACTTCTAAATTTTATTAAGTGCTAATTTTGATTGCTTTTATCACAGTAGTTGATAATGTGACATGAATTGAGAATAGCCAACATCATGAATTATGCATTTATCTGATAAGCGGATAACAAAACATTATGCGAAAATTGCTCGATCGTCAATTTTTGGATGATAATATTTCACATCGATTAACTTTTAGATTTGTATTCATTTTTTTTTCATAATTTCTATGGCGTCAATGCTAAAAATAGTTGAAAAATTGCTTGGCTTCCTTAAAATTCCTGAAAACAATTGTTTATTTGATTATGGAATAACTATTCTCGAGTATTTTTAAACCAATTTAATAAGTAACGTTTCATTCTGATAGTATGGTTATTCATATAAAAGGCATGGCGAATAAGCTATGCATGAGACAATATTGGGTCGGATTGACATCCGAGGTCAGAAATAAAGTTTTTACGTCTCTTAATAGCTTAAATGATATAGACTCCAGAAAATTCGTCTGGCCATAGCATAGGTCGTTATTAAAATTAATCGTAATAAATTCACTCACAAATTGGTCTGAGGAAATGACTACCATTCCTTGCATTCATATTTAGTCGTGTAGTTGGATTCGGAAAGCATTTCCCGTTCTCCTCGAAAAAATTGGGAATGCACATGCATTCTGATACTCTTACGCATCCATATCGTAGATTTTTGAATACATGCAACTGGCATTCCTCATAATAGACTTTGCTTTCACCACAAGAATTTGTAGAAACTATTGATATAGACGAATTGCTTGCATTTATCAGAAGAAACTAAAAAGAAGCTAAAAAAATCAAAAGCTAATGATAGTGTTGACCAGTAGATCGCAACCATAAAAAGGCTTCTTAAATTTAGGCAAAGGCCATAATTGAGAGGTGCTAAAAAGAATTTTTTCTTTTTTTTGAGGTAACTGGGTCAGCAATAACGATAACATTGTAACATTTAAATAAAAATAACTATTAATAACTATTCATATCGATTAGCACCCATTCATTTGTAATAATTAAAAGTGAAATAATGAAGCAATGAGGTGGGAATTAGAAATAGTGGAAATAATCAAACTCCATCCTACTTGATCTCGACTTAACAGTGCATTAGTTACCACTTATTTCCAAATCATTCATACCACCTAATGATAAATCAATGTATTGTCGTTAAAGGAGAACTTGTTTGTAACCAAAAGCCAATTAAGCAACCACAACCCGCATCTTTTCAAGGAATTGCCCAGTGAAAGTAACCAAAATTTTTTTTTGGTTTCTGAACATAATTTTATAAATCTACATGCTTTTAAATCAACCACAATAAAACAAAAACTCACCAAAATAGCGACGCACGGAAGAAACATAACTGATTGTGGCTGTGGCTGCTTTAATATGAACATTTATAGTTAACTTTTGGCTAATGAACGATTCATTCGCCGTACTACTGTCCCACAAATACGCTTAAATTTTGTCGAATATACTGTATTCGGAAATTTTTTTGAATAAAATATTACAATTTCTTTCTTATAGAAAAAAGGGATAATAGCAATACAATTCGTTCGCATTGTTGAAATTCGGCTTTGGCGCATAATTTTCTAATACTTCCACGTCAACATTGCTCGGTGAAAAATCAGTTTTGCGAAAATTTGTACAACCATAACGAAATGAATTAAAAATATTTATAAAATTATAAAATTATAAATCCAAATCGCCGAAAATGAAAAATTTACATTTCAAATTATTAACAACTTCGAGTCAAATTTTCATTTAATCTCGATATTCATCAAATTACTACGCGATTCCCAATTAATTCTTCTATGAGCATTCATTCGTTTCTTGTTGTTAATAGTGTAAATTTTATTAAATTTTTGTTTCAATCGCCAATATTGAAAATAATTGCATGTGATCAGTAAGAATTCTTTCGATCTACGGTCCAGTTCTATGTTTATTCCAGGTTATATTAGTAAAGCGTTCCAGAGGCGTTTAACCTCATCCCCATTGGCTATTGTTATAAAGTTCTTGACCGAAAAATTATGTTATCTCCTTAACTATTCTAATAACTGCATACTCCATTCCAAATTGCCTTAATTTTTATTAACACTCTCTCGTTCTCGCTATCCTCATTGGAACTCGAATTCGTTCTATCCGATTGGTAATTGTAAAAAAATATAGGCGACTTCTAACGATAATGGAATTGAGAGTTATTTGAGTAGAACGCAACAATTTTAAAAATAGAAATTTAAACATGAACTATATGAATTCTATATGCATATATGAATTCGAAATTTGTTTTAATAAGAAAATTCTCGCACTTAAAAACAATTCAAATTTATAATATAAAGCCATTCATACTGTCAAAATTTCAAGCCTTCAACAAATGTACTCTCTGCTATGGAAGAAAAAAATAATACCAAATGACTGAAGCGAAATAATTCTGCTCCTAATTACTAGCAAATATTACAAGGCAAGTATTATAATATTATTAACAATTATCGAGGAATCAACCTGATAGACATTTCCGAGAAATTTTTCGCTTATTTCCTCTGGATATATGGTAACAGAGGATAGCGCGATGCGCATTATCATGCTGGATTCATTTCCGTTATTCTATCTTATCCACGCTAAGAAGATTTTTGGAGTTGATCTTCGATTATTTCGCTATTAATACATCTATTTTTTTCAAGAGGTAGCGGGAACAGAAACCGGACTCATTTCCAAAAATAAGTACCATATCATCATGTTCCTACCGTTTTCTACAGTATAATAGAGAACATGCATAAGCGTAAGATCACTGTTGAAATTAATCTATGTAAGAGCAGATAAGACAATCGGTCGAATTTTCCTAAATCGTACAAAATACAAAATTAACTTAAGCTGCCGAACAGGTCGACAAAATATGTCCTGAATTTATAAAAACAAAATAAGGTCAATGAAAGGAAATTAATGAGTGATATATATGATAAAAATAATCAAAAACTAATAATGCAAAGAAAAATAATGCAATAAAAGAGAATTAAAAGATTCAATTCAAAATGAATAAATTATAGAATTATATTAGGGTAATAAAATGATCAAAGTTTCAAATTTCCTTCACAAATTTCATCCTTTTAAATAAAATCATGGATGACATTTCTTAATCCCTTTTTTAAAAATAGCTAAAGATGACGACCTACAACCTAGCAACATCATTCGAATATCTATTGCATTAAATTAATGCTGCGAATGAAAAAATGTCATACACCCTTAATTTACTTTGCATTTCGATTTCAATAATTCCAATCTATTGGAACTTGCTGCATTAAAATTTAACC